CCGGTACCCAGAATGGAGTACTGCGAGTCGAGGACATTCTTGGCATTCTCCAAGCCATTGCAGTGCTCCCTGTAGCTGTTGTTCAAATCCTTTGAGATCTGCATGTCCTGGAACATGCGCTGAAGTTTGTTGGTGTACTCGAAGCCGCAAGCTTCTTTCAGCTTGCTGATCATACTCGTCTCGGCATCATCCGAGGACGAGTTGCTGTGCACCAGGCGACGAGCCAGCATGCGGGAGTAGAACTTCTGGAAAACATCCTTGTCCTCGATGTATTTGAAAACAATCATGATCTGTGTCAAGGTGTTCTCCAGCTCCGTCTCCTCGATGCCGGTCCCGCTCTTGCGTAGGAGCACATCAGTGTACTTGGCCAGCAGTTCAGGAGACTTGTTTGAACCGCTCTTGCAAATCTCGTTGCGGTTGACGAACTCTTTGCAAGCGTTGTCCAGAGACCGCGTGAACTCGGCCTCCTCGCGGAAAGCACGGGACACGAGGCCGGAGTACTGGGTGTGAACCTCCAATAGAGCGTCGACGTAGACCTTGGGCTCAAGCTTCTCAGTGTTCTCAGAGGCCACCTTTTGGATGGCACCAAGTCCGGCCTTACGGACATGAGTTTCGAACTTTTGGCGGAGGGCATCCAGGCCTTCGGGAATCCGAAGAAGCAAACCGTACATCCTAGCCATGTCTTGTTCGCGGTCATTCTCGAGTAGAACCTGGAATTCATCCCGAAGCACAGACGCGTGATCCGTGATGAGAGCCGTCTCGCAAGTCTTCCGCAGCGATGCCAGTATGTCGGCGTGAAGATACATGCGCACGCGCTCCTCTTCCTCGTCCAACCGCTCCTCGGCCTTCTTCATGTATTCCACAATCGTGTTCTCAGCCACAAAGTGTTTTGACTCGTTCTGGTAATACTTTGCGGTCGCCTCGAGGAACGGCTTCTCGAAGTGGAATCGGTAAATTTCAAGCGTCGATCTCGTAGGGTCGGTCTCATCCAGGCCGAGGGAGACATACGAATCCACAACCTGTTTGATCTGGCTGAATTCAATAGTCTCGCCATTTCGCTGCTTCTCAACCAGCTTCAGTACGGCATCCATGACCTTGTCGGATATCTTCTTGAACAGCTCTTCCCGCCACTGTACCAAGTGCAATGTGTAGACATCATACGTGTTTTTCTTGCCCTCATCCATCTCTCGCTTGACCCAGTGTCGGTTGAGGTAGCGGAACAGATGATGAATGTATTTCGCAGCGTTGGTATAGCGAGTCCATTCTCTGATGTAGAACGCGAGAAGAGCCTCGTTGGTGTGCGTCTTGGATTCGGCAAGGAGTCCCTGGAGATGGGCAACCAGGTAGTCGGTCAACTTTTTGTACAGCTCTTCGCCGAGAAGATGGGCTACGTGAAACTTGGTGATCAGAACAGGTCGATAGCTTGACGAGCCCATGATAGCTTACCTCCTCTATGATTTCCACTGCCGATCGAGGGTGCCGCACTGACCCCTAGACCAATAGCCTTCTGGGAGGTACAAAAGTTATGGACCGCACTGCGAACGAAGATTAGCAAACTGTCGAGGGCGTGGGGGTGCGAGTGAGGCTATACGTGTAGACTCCCATGTACTATGAGTCGCATGCAAGTTAGCTAGCAGTCGGACGCAGAGCATTTGGCAAACACGTGGACGATGGTATGGTTTACAAGTTGGACTTACAGTATGCATGTCGATACCGGACTCTAAGTGAAGCATGATGCGTTCTATGCCTGCCTCCAAGTAGTTCCATCTGTAGAACGTCAGCGCCGGGTCATGTGTGTCGTGGCAATATGAGCGCGGAAGCGTACGTCGCCAAAGCATCCTCGCGGTTGGGCGCGGGAGGCATCGCCGCCGGCGAGTTGGTCCTCTTGGGCGTCGCCATCGTAAAGACAGGGCGCCGCGAGGGTGTTTGGAAAGACGACTAGCAAGACACAGTCGTGCCGCGTTTCTTCAGGTAAAATGTCTAAGTTGTCTGGGGATATGCTGTCGGAGAGGAAGCTTGCGTTCGATGGATGCAGGTCGTTATGTATGTCAGGGCCCTCGATGGCGGCGAGGCAAGCCGGTGTTCGAAGTAGTGGACCGCGTCGTAATGTGTTCGAGTGAGGTGAAGAACGGCCGAGCCAGCACAGGTCTCAGAGTGCGCTGCGATATAGTGCGTCAGAGCGTGAAGGAGAGGCGCCAACTGTCTAGCAGCATGCGACCCGTTCTGGAAACGGAAAGCAGGTGCGAGAGGGGACGAGCGGAGGAGAGCACGACAGGGGCACTCGCGGGACAGGGACGATCAGAATCATAGACGTAGCGCCTCGTACTGTGATGGCCAGGAACGCGGACAAGGCACTGCAGGTCGTGTCTAGAGATGCGATGGAAGAAGGGTCAGATAGAAGGGAGGGGGGGTTGTCCGGCGTGATCTGGAGAGTCACGTATTACGTGACAGAGAGCAGGCTACAAGTGCAACAGAGCCCAGCCCAGCCCAGTGCAACCAGGCGTGGTTGGAGGTGAGGTGGAAGTGGGCTGTGGGAAAAGCGGAGCCTCACATGGGCAGCAGGTTCGCCCTGGTCTACACCTGACGGGTACGTACCTGCTTTGGCAACCCCTCCATCCCTTTGCTGCAGAGGACCGTTCGGCCTGCTCTTCAGGGTGGGATGTCGAACAGCTGTGTGCTTTTATAGGGCTGCAGACTGTTACTTGTAATCATATCAAGCGCATCGTGTACATTCAGCCACCCTGCGGAGAAATAAAGAGAGCCAAGTCCGTAAAAACATGCTGTGGTATCATGTGCTGTGTGAAAGGTATTCGCAGTCAGTCTCGCCATCCTATCATGTCATAAAATTCGGCGTGTGCGTCCCGCATCAACAGAGCCGATGAATAGGAAAACGAGAACCACAAGCTCCTCGATCCCGCAGGACTGAACGCTGAGGGGGAAAAAACAGACCAATCGAGGTGTCCTTGCACTCTCAACCCAGACACCAGAAACAAAACAAAAACCCATATGCGCCTGCTCACCCCTCGTTCGTTCCCAGCCTTGCCACCGTCCTGAAAATATTCACCATGAAGTTGAATGTCCACGATACGAGCCCCACGAACACAAAAGCCGACAGAGCCTTGGAGAGCTGGGCCACCTTCGCGTCACCCCGATCATTGTGATAGACCAGGCTCTCGAACGCCAGTGCCGTGCTCACTGATTTGAATATAATGAAGAAGAGGTCCAGTAAGATCAAGGCGATCTTTTGCGTGGCGGGTCGGAGACCGAGTGGCTTGCCCGTGTACTCATCCCACAGCATGTAAGCGATGTATGGAACTGCGACGGTGTCCACGGCGATGGCGACGACGCTCTGCGTACGCTCCGCGCTGCTTCTGTCCTGCGCGTTCTCGTGGACGAAGATTCGCGTGGCAATGGCCAGCGACATTAATGAAGTAATCATGACCGTCAGTCGAAATACGAGCGGCACGAGAGGATGACGTAGAATCGCCCGCCAGATTCTTTCGCCCACCGTTCGCGTGCGTTTCCTCCTTCTCGAGGACCGGCTTTCGTGTGGGTGAAGGGGGTTGTCAAAGGGCCGGTTGAAGTCAGGCTGCAGCTTATCCAGCATTTCCGGATCGACAACCTCAGAGTCCTCTCCCGGGGCACGCCCGTATACTGTAGACTGGACGTAGTGTCTCCAGACAGCGGCTGCGCCACCTGTATTTCCCGGTGCTGGCGGCGCATAGGCAGCTACGACGACAGGTTCAGCAGAGCGCAGATGATCCCACTTCCTGCCCTGTTGACCTCTGCGGCCCCTGAGCAGCTTCTGGACCGTCAACCGCCTGTTTGG